ATAGAGTTTCCCTGGTGTTGGCCAGAGTGGCCACCAGGGAAACCTGGGGAGGGCTAGCCTCCCACTAGTTCGAATTAAGGGGCTACACACCCCTTAATTCGAACTAGTAAGTTCGAACTAGGCTTAATCCTCGTAAAATGAGGTTTTCCTAGTTCGAACTAAGCGCTCCGCTAGTTCGATTTAAAATCGAACTAGCGGAGCGCTAGTGTAGCGCCTATGAATGTTAGTTCGAACTAACATTGTAGTGTAGACATACCCAAGGGTAAGATTGGTTAAATGGGTGATATACAGAATTCACAATCTACATATGTAGTAAATATACTGTATTCAGCAGCTTTTCTGTGTTTATAATTAATTTTTCTCTCTCATAGCCTCATAAATGTTAGAGCCAGAAGGGACCATCGTTATCATCTAGACTGACATCCTGCACATTGCAGGCCACAGAACCTTCCCTCTCCCCCAACATACACACACACACTCCTGTAATAGACTCATCCCTTTAAGTTACTGAAGTCCTCAAATTGTGATCTGCAAACTTCAAGTTACAGAGGTGTTAGCTGGTGGCCGGGGTAGTGAGTGGTCTGTGAGCCCTATCACACCCGAGTATTTAGCTGCTAGGACAGAGTCCCTTCGCAGCAGGCAGCCAGGGTGGCTGACAGGTGACCTTTGGTGGTGCAGAAAGAGCTCGTTACACCCGAGACTTCGACTGCTAGGACAAAAGTCCCTTCGCAGTGGGCAGCCAGGGAGGCTGACGGGTGCCCCAAAGAGTCTGCCCCGTGGAGGTGCCACAACTCAACGCTCAGCTCTTACTGCGTTTATTGCTGACCGGCTATAGTTCTTTCAATTGTGTTTGGTTCTGTTACAGCAACAGGAGGAGTCAGATTAAAGCTTAAACGGTTACTATTTTATTGTTACAAGGCAAGCTTATCTGTTAAATGTTACTGCTGTGTTACAGATGACACAGCCACTACAAAACGCAAGACAGAAAATACAATGAAAAGTCAATTAAAGATATCATGAAACCCTCTTGGGTCTCTGAGCTCTTATTGAATGCGTGCAAAAATAGACACCTAGCAGGTATATTCTCACCCCTGCGATCCTTACTCTGGCGAAGCCAGCGTTTCTCTCAATCCGAATGGGAAGCAGTCGATACGAGATGAAGGCATCCCTAAAGTTTCGGGGGTCCAAGACCGCCTGACCAGCAGGTATATGGGTGGATCTCCAATTAGAGTGGGGCACAGGATCCCACTTTAAACCCCTGTGGTCACGTAGATGCTTCTCTTGTCATTAAAATGCCAATTAAGTTTGTGACGCCCATTCCCACAGGGGGTCCAAAGCTTAATTTACACCTGTGAGGTAGAGGTAACTAAATCATTAGGGCCAGACATCCTTTTTCTGATGGGGCGGCAGATTCCTCTTCTGGGACGGTGTGTGTAGGTATATCAATACTGGTACCAGCCAAAGGTAGCCCAAGGCCCCCTGACCGCCTGCTGGCCAATTGTTGCTGTTATCTGGTTCCTGTCTAGCATCCAGGGCCATTGTTATTCCAGCACCTCTGGAGGCCCTGGAGTCTTTGAAGACAAAGTTTTGATCTCAAGGATTCTCTCTCCCAAGGATGTCGGGGGTGGGGGGGGCTTTTTGTCTGGCTACAAGAGGCTCCTCCATTGTCTCAAGTTTAAACTAGCAAGTGCTCTATGTCCCATTCTTCAGAGGAAGGTAAAACCCCTCCAGAGCAGTGGGGGGCAACCTGCAGTCCCAGGACCACAAGCAGCCCATCAGGGTTCTATATGTGGCATGAGAGACATTTTGTTTACCGCTACCCCCACACAGGGTTGCCAGACTCCGCTGTTTTCCATCTGCATAATTTTTTTTCCCTATCAGTATTGCTAAGGTGACATGCACATAACACAAGGATATGTAAAGTCAGGTACTTCCTGATTGCACACCACATGCGTGAGAGCCGTGTGTTCCCTCTGCAGCCAATCAAAGCACTGCTACAGCGCCACACCCCACAAATTCTAGATAGGCAAGCGCAGTTAGCAAAATTACCATACCCCGGGAGATCATTTTGATTATGACAATCTTGTGGCCCATTGAGACGAAGGAGGGTCATTCATGGCTACCCATCACTATTCCAGGTTCTCTGCCAGTCTGGTCCAGCAGAAAATTTCCTTCCTAACCCTAAACATGGTGGCCAGTTGAACTCTGAGCATGTCAGCAAAACCCAGCAGCCAGGCACCTGGGAAAGAATTCTCTGTTGTAACTCAGGCTCTGTCTTGACTACAGAGTTTTGTCAGAAAAATGGCTGTTTTTTCGACAAAACTTGAATAACGTCCACACTGCAAGTGCATTCTTTCAACAGTAAATTGAAAGAACAGAGGGCTTTTTGAACAATTGGTAATCCTCATTCTATGAGAAAGAAGCCTTTTTGTGAAAGAACTCTTTTGCAAAAAGGTGTGTGTGGACAGGAAAGAGGGAGTTTTTCAGAAGAAAAGGGAAAAGGAAAAAGCAAAGGTGCCCTGGTGGCCATTCTGTCCATAGCAATCACAGCTTACATGGCAGTCTGGATGCTATCTTTCTAAAAAGTGTGTCTCTTTTTCAATACACTTTTGCAGTGTGGACACTGTCTTTTGCAAGAAGTTTTTTTGGGAGATCTCTTCCAAAAAAAGTTTCTTGCACACAAAGCCTGTAGGCTAGATGTAGCCTCTGAACCCTCCCCATCTAATGCCCCATCTCCAGCCATTGTGGATTTTTGCTACTAGCGGCTGTAGATGGGCCATACATATGCTACTGTAGGCAATTTCATCCCCTTAGTCCTTTTCTCACAGTCTCAGTTAAATGAACAAAATATTGATAACATTCAACCTACAATGATTGGTATAAGTCTGGTTAGTTTCTAGTTTACTCCTCTCTAAAATTGCCAACTTCCCATCCCAGAATTTTATGGTTAATTCCAAAGTGCCTAAGTTAGTTTAGAAAATGTAACCCCCAAGTCTTCCAAGTCCTGAACCAGGTCAGTATTAATAACCCATTATACAGAGGGGAAAGCGAGGCTCCGACTGATTAACTTGTTATTTGCCCGCGGTCACACAAAGTCTATAGGAGCCAGGGAGGAACCCAGGTCTCCAGGCGCCCAGCTTTTCTCATTAAATGCAAGGTTACCATTCCTGCCTTAGGGGCCTGCTTCTTTGTACCTCTTGAGATTGTTCTAGGTATGTGTAGATAGAAGCCACCACAGAGTCTACCTTATATTTAGAAGTATACCTTATATTTAGAAGTATATATCTTGTCTTCAAAAAAAAGAGGCAGGGTAGCTACCTCTCTCTCTCTCTCTCTCTCTCTCTCTCTCTCTCTCCTGTGTGGGAAGGGGGAAATCTCCACAGTCTCCATCTGCCTCTTCTTTTTCAGCATCCTTCTTCTTCGGAGTTCAAGTATGAGAGGATGGTGTGGAACCCCAAAAGAGGATTTGTCATCCCCTCTCCTTCTTTCCACTTCTTCAAAGGCATGCTCATGTGTAGCACCAATGTAAACGGAATTACCTCCAAATCCTACTACATGCTACAGAAAGTGGGTGAGTGACCCTTGTGTGTTGAGCAGTAATTGTTACCCAATGGAACAGAAACATGTCTGGTGCTTAGCTAAGTCTTGTGGTTATTATCTCTTGGTTAGCCTAGTTCCAAGCTAACCCTTGGTGATTATAACTGGTATATAAGAGATGAGTCAAAACTGGAACATTTTATGCACACCCACCTCCCCTTTGAGCTTTGGTGGTTCAGATCAAATAGAACTTGGAACTGATCTACCTCTGGTTTTGAAAAATTTCCCAGTGTAGAGATGGGATAGAATTGGCTTTCCTCAGGCCCCACCACAGTTTTGTTGGTTTGGGTAATGTGGAACCTAGATTCAAATAACCACTGCTTTGGGATTTGCATCTCTGAGAAGTGGCCTCCTCTGCCCATTTCTGATATTTGTGGAACTTATAAGACATGATATAAAATCTCATATAAATGCTCATTTGCAAACCTCGCAGGTTTTTGTTTGGTTTCTCTTGGCACTTTATCACATGCTCTCCATTGTGTTTCAAGATAGGCTCCAGCTGCAGAAGTCAACTCTGGATTTTCAGAACAGAGGTGTTTGGGACTGAGGCTTTGTTTGAGCCCATTTCTAATAACGTGCTCCTTGTTTTGTGTACATTTTCTTTATCGCCTCATAAATTTTAAATTTTACTAGGCAGGGTTCATTGTGATTTCATTTCCACTAGGTCATTGTACCCTTCTCAATAATTAGCATTTAGCATAAAACAACTGGCAAGGAAATTTGTATGGCAGCCAAATGGAGGTTCTGGATGGCTCTTTTTTTCAGTGCTTAAAGTCATTATTTACTACATACGTCTCAGAATCAAAGGTGGGAAGGTTTGTTAGGTCATCGGGCCCACTGCTTGAGGGCCAATGCAGAATTCACCCTTCTTCTCTATAACAGGGAAGTACCCTGACACTAGAATGGACTCAGGAGACTGAGTTCTATTCCACATTTGCCTGCCATGTGACCATGGGCAAGACACTTGCTATCTCTGTACCGCAGTTTCCCCAGTCATAAAATGGGAATGATACTGGCCTCCTTTGCAAAGTGGTTCAGAGTGTGCTAGACACTTCACACTGTAGCTAAAAGGCTATAATCCCTACCCTATAGAGTTTAACAAGCTAACATCAGACATGATGCATTGATGTAATAAGACAGCTAGTAGGACCAAGATTTTCTAACCTAAGTATGGGCTTGGGGGTGCCCAGTGAAGGGAAGCTGGTTTTCAGAGGCTGGGTTTTCAGCACTTTGTGGAAAGTAAGCCCCTGTCTAGGGCCCCCACGCTGAGTCACCCAACAGCATTAGCTGCAGCCAAGGCAGGGATGGACAAGGACGATATCAATGTGATTATGTGGCTGATGATCATGGGCTGGAGTATCAAGTGAAGGAGTAAAGAAGTTCACAAAATTCATGGATTTTAAGTCCATACAGGATCATATTATACTCATCCTGTCCGGCCTCCTGCATAACCCAGACAATGGACCAAAGAGATTATGGTACCTAAAGAAGTGATCTCACTTTGAAAAGTGCCTCAGTGCCCAGCAGCTCCCACAGAGGGCATTAGCAGGCTAATTTCCTGCAATCCTCCCAGGAGGAGCAAAGTCTTGAGGAAGGATTTGAAATGGGGGTTTCCTGTTCAGTTCAGCTGCAGCAGATTGGGGGGACATTTTACTTTTGTTCTCATTTCAGAGACTAGAATACAAAACCTGGATCTGAAAGCAAATCCCAAAAAGCTGCTAGTTGGAGAGACCCTCAACCTGGAATGCAGCGCAGAGACCTTTTACAATGGACGGATTGGATTGAAATGGCAGTATCCCAAGGGGAGAGTGAGTAGCTGACAATTCAAGGCTTTCTCTGGTTGGATTGCAGTCGTCAACAGCATGGAAATGAAAGTTCTGTTTTTATGGCTTAATAACTCCCAATATTGCCTTCATGTGTCATTCATAAAAGCTCAAGTAGTGGGAGAGCCACAAATGATTGTCTTTTCAATTCAGATGAGCTGAAACCCCAGGAAGCTATGTGAACTCTCCGAGCTCCTTTGTCTTGCACAATTGGGTTGCAAGGCAAATCTAACTGGATTTTTGCAACATTATCAGGAATTTTGGGACACCTCTCCCATGTCACTGCAGCCCCCCTTATGATCCTAGCTGCCAATGGGGAATCGAGCTGCCACTGGGGTGGCAGACTGTCTAGTTGGCCCTCCGTCTTTCTAGATACTTGTGCAGTGTGTAAACATGAATCAAAAACTAACTAGTCTTCCTTAAGCCTCACTAAAAAATTTGGTTCACGTTCTAAATGAAGATTCAGACTCTGATAGTGGCGTGTACGGAAGAGGGGACATTTGGGATTTGACTCCTGAGAAAACTCAGCACTTCCTGAGAGGTCCAAAGCCCCTTCAGCACTCTCTTGGGAATCACAGGGGTGGAACCTATGTAGATCAAGTCTTCTTCAGGGTTGGTTCGTTCTAGGGACGTAATAGTGTAGTAAAAGCTTATTGGTTAATGCTTTGGACTACACGCAATTTCCCTTCCTCCCCTCTTGCCAGTAAATATTTTAGTAGGCTGGCCAGCAGCTCAGCTCAGTCCCAGCTTGCACTAGGTCCAGGACCTACCCCCACTGAATACACCTCTCTGCATTTAAAGTGTATTAGGAGGCAGACAGGCAGGCTGCTGGGTCCAGAAGCCCAGATACACACACACTCCCAAACAGGGGCTGCCACCGTCCCATGTTGCTGCCTCTGTATCAGAGGTAGCAGCATGTGGCGACAGGCAGCTGGTCTGCGATGGGAGCTGTTTTTTTAACTGGCTCCCCATGTGAATCAGCTCCCGCCTGGCACCCTGTGCTGTTGCCTCTGTTACAGAGACAGCAGTATGGAGTGGCAGGGGGTTCCTCGGGAGTGGGACTGGAGCACACTGGCTGCCGGCCTCATCCCTGGGGACTATAGAATAGTCGAGTAACCACTAAGAATACATGAGATTAATTGACTATGCAAGTGAACCGATATTTAATATCCCTAGTTTGTTCATCCCTACCCCTAAACTCTGCTCTCGGTAGCTCCTGAGCACCCTGCAGCAGCAGGTGGATCAAGCTCTAAAACTGCCAGCTCTTAAAATTAGGGTAACCAAATATTTTTAAGAAGCAGCAATTCTAAGAGCTCTGCTTGGGAAGAAAGTGCCCAAAGATCAGTGTCCCAATTCAATGCAATTTAAAAATATTTCATTTTTATCCTGTGAAAACCCCTAAATTTGATGTGTTCTAGGCATTTGCAGCCTTGTGCAGAACAGAAGAATGTTTCATTTTATATAATGACTTGGGACCCTTCAAAAGGTTTCTTGGCAAAATTTGTAAAAGAAAAAAAAAGGTACAAACTACAGCATGAGTGGGAAAATCATGTCAAATTTTATCAGTATGAAGCCCGTGTGGTTCTATAGAATTTTCTCTTTGAAATCTCTAGAATGAAATATAAGGTGATTTTTCTATTCTCTTCCTTTGAACCATCCACTAGTTTTCTAGGTAGCAAGTGTACAAATGCCTATTCAAATTTATAGGATCAAAATGTCTATTGAAATTTACAATTCTGCATCACATTCTATAGAACTTTTCCATTGGAATGTGGTTACTATATAGATCCTTTATTATTTAAGGTTTTAATTTTTCTTTCCCAGATAGATTGATACTGACCAAGAATTAAATGTACACAACAGGTAGGAGCTCCAAAATAACATGGGTGAAATCCTAGACCCACTGAAGCCAATGGAAGTTTTGCCATTGATTTCACCAAGGTCAGGATTTTAGCCCCAAATTGAGACCGTTCCTGTGGTAAGATACATCTACACAGCAGGGCTAAAGAAGAATTAATCTATGCAACTTGAGCTATGTTAAATGTGTAGCTTAAGTCGAAATAGCTTAATTTGGCTTTTGGCGCTGTCTGTACAGCAGGAAGTCGAATGCAAAATACTCTTCCTTCGACTTCCAACTTCCCTTACTCCTCATAAAATGAGGGTTACAGGAGTCAGAGTAAGAAGTCCTCCAGCTCACCATTGTTTCAAAGTAATGGCTTGCAATGTAGCCATGCTCTTTAATATTTGGAATAATGTCAGTTATTCTGAAATAATGCTGCTGTGTAGACATAGCAGTATGGAACTAATGAAGAACTACTTGATTTCATTCGGTTGTAGGTATGTGGACAATAAAAGCTCCCTGAAACAGTCTACTGCTATATCTTTTTGTCTATTATTCCTACTCTCTGGGTGGGAAAGTGTAATTGTTTCAGCCTAGGTCTTTGGAGTTTATATCTCTTAACATATGGGTGTCTGAAACAGAATAAGCAATTGAAGTATAAGCAGTAGAATAAGAATAAGTTGACTCTTTTCTTTGTCTTTGTTTTCTATCATCCAGAATCATAAGCCTACAGCAGGTCTTACCCGAAATAATGACACGAATAAAGTTTTCAGTTATGTCACTATCCAGAATGTTACCATGAAAGACAGTGGCTTGTATATATGCAATGCAACAGGACTGGAGACCAACACTACAATCACAGTATACAGTAAGTTCTCACTGAGAAGCAGGACTGTTAAGGAGATGGACACTTAATCTGTAGCTGTCCCTCAGCAATGACGCCAGCTTGGGTACAGTCACAAAAGTGGACTATCAATCCCTATGATTTAGGGCAGTGTTTCTCAACCAGCGGTACGAATACCCTTGGGATACTCAAGAGAAGTTTGGGAGGTACATCAACACAACTGAAATTTGGAGAAAACTGAATTTTTGTTTTAAGTTTTACAGCGCTTTATTATTTTTGTATTTTTTACACCCAAAAATTTCATCACCTGCCCGGCTACGATTAAGTTGTTTAAACAAATGTGTTGTAATGGTAGAAACAAATTGTGTGTGTGTGAAAACTAGGTTCTGGGGGTACTTTTTTTTTAAAGGGGTATTTTATAAAAAAAAAAAAAAAAGGTTGAGAAACACTGCTTTAGGGCACACACTGATCACCAGATGGGTCAGGAAGAAATGTTTTCAACAGAATACAGTATAATATTATGAGAATGTTATATCTTCTGTTTAAATACACAATACAGGTCTTTGTTGGAAATAGGTTACTGGACAGTAGAGGCTCATTAATTTATTCTTGTTTTGCCTTTTTTGCCCTCTTAAAATGTTTTTGAAAAGTTAGTAAACTTCTGAAAATGGAATGTATTGAAATTCGCTTATTTAGTCATGAATCACTTATATCACAGGGGTCATGTAGGCTCTGTGTATGGATAGGCCAGAATTTTCAAAAGGGTCCAGCATCCACAACTGACACCAGATTTTCAAAAGAGCTCAGCATATTGGGCGCCAGGAACCTCTGAAATTCTGGTACCTCCACCACCCCACCACACCCCACCCCGTGCATGTTCTGGTCTTGAAAATCTGATTCTTCAAGGTGAAGAAAAATCAACCTTTGCCAGTGGATATCCCAGTAAATATTTCCTGTTCCATGGCGAATATCGGTTATCATCACATACCGCTGCACAGTAGCTGCTGGCAATAGCTGATTTTAAAATGGCCACCATTGCCATGACAACCAAAATGTACAGAGAAAGCCTGTCTCTAGTTCTGGTGTACATGGGCAGAATAGATGCAGCTACGGCTGAAGCTTGTCATTCCATTCAATTTTCTGTAGCTTCTCTGGATCTAAGAGGCAGGAACCTATTCCAGAGCACATTGTATTTAGGGCTGCAGGCATTTATAGCCTGATATGAATCTTCCATTCTAAGAGTTTTGTTTGTTTGTTTAAGGCAAACCTTTCCTGCGAGTTTCCTATAAGAAAGGACCCTACTATGAGGGGGTAGAAGGACAAAAGTTACTGAAACTAGCTGTGAAGGTGGATGCTTTTCCCCGCCCCAATGTTACCTGGTGAGTATCAGCCTCTTGTGAGGAAAATGTGAAAGGGAAAAGTAAAGATATACATGCCACTTTCTTCAGACATGGCAGACAATGTAAAGGGGAGGTCTTGTGATTAAATTACTAGTCTAGGAAACAATGAAATCTGGGTTCTATTATCAGCACTGTCACAGATTCATAGAGTGATATGGTCGTGGATGAGTCACTTCACCCCTCAGTTTCCTCACTGACAGTCTGGGAATAATGATATCTCCCTACTTCATAGCAGAAATATGAGGCTCCACTCAGCCATGTGCCCATAACACACTGAGAACCACAGAGGGAGAAGTACAAGAGAGCGTTTTCAGTGTTATCAGTCACAGAGCTGAGCTTAAAGTCAATCAGTGCCTCCTGGAAAGCTGTGAGAAACATTCTCTGCATGGCAGTTTCTGCCTCTTCAGTTCATTTTTTTTTTCTCTTCACTCATTTATGACTATGAACATTCACATGTAAGTGGATATTTTTACAGAAATGTTCATCTGCTCCTGCCACTGCTTCCCCATCTGAAGTCCCAATCCATGTGGAAATGCTTTCAGCAGCTGCCAGCTGCAGAGGGTTAGCACTTCAGCTGCAGGTGGGGAGGCTGGAGCAGAGGATCTCTGAAGATCCTGTTTTTGTGCAGTAATAAAATAAAATAAAATAAAATGAGGGGCATGCAGGAAATACTGATCCATCAGCAGAATCATCCCAAAATAGAACTTGGCTCAAATATTTCTAGGTTGCTTCATAAAATCTTAGATATTAGATGGAGAAAAGACATATTAAGCCTTCCCTGTCAATGAAGAAAAGACCTTTATGGCCAATGATGCCATACGTGAACTTCATTATGGCCTTTGTTCCCCTTATGTGATCAGTTAATATCATCTGAGGGATCCATAGAATGCCAACATAGTCAATCCACCAGTGCCAAAAGTGCAACATCCATCTCAGTCCTACACACACACACACACAAAGCAGAATCATGCAAAATCCTATGGGCCAATAAAAGGCTTCTCCAATGTAACATATCACATCCCCATTTAATATAATATTCAGCGCTTCTACAGGCAGAAACGGCACTAAGGGTACACCAGAAGTATCCCAAAATAGCTACCCCCATCTTTTGAATGTGTCTACTATTGCGAAATATAGCGGATGCCTTATTTCAGCATCCCTGTAAACCTCGTTCCACAAGGGATAAAGCAAGTGTTGAAATAGTGTGTTCTTTACAAAGTTGGCGCTGTGTAGACATGCCAAATTTCAAAATAGCCTATTTCAAAATAGAATTGAAATAAGATACACAATTTGCATAGTGCAAATTGCGTATCTTATTTCGAGCTAAGGGTGCAATGTAAATGCACTCTAACTTCCACCCTCTCCCATTTGGCTTCTTTCTCCTCTCTCCCTCTCTGCCTCTTTTTATGGCAAGAAGAAATGTTAGCCAAGACCACCAGCATTCTATCCCCTACTCCATTTCCTAGAAACCAGACAGCTGATCAGAAGTATGCTCAAATCTGTGAAAGCCTTTTTCCACACTCAGCGTATCTTGCTTTGAGGCTGTAGTTAGTTGGCTCTTCCACAATGCACATTTTTGTTGGCCACCAAGAAGTGGCAGGATTGGCAGACAGCAGGGGGAGTAGGTATGGTTTGGGATTTGGTTTGGTTTTAAACAGTAAAATAGTATAAATTTCTAAGAGGTTCACTTCATATCATAGGAAAAATCAACCATCTGTTGCTGGATTTTTTTAAGAGCTGGGAGTATTTTAAGGGATGAAATAAACACTTTCCCATTTTCTTTCTGTAACTATGGTGCTACTAGTGCAGTGGTGGAGAAAGGAAATAGCCATATTTGGAATAGTATGAGACCACCAACATTGTTTGTGTGTTCTGTACTGCAGCAGTGAGATGTTAATGTTGGAGTCCTCAGAATGAACACAGTCACCTTTCTCAAGCTGGAGTCCCTGTACAGAGTCCCTGAGAAGTTTGTCAGCCTGACCTGTGGGTTGTTTTGTCTTACCCATCAAATATTTAAAGTCCAAAAGCATCCAGATGTCACCTGTTGCTTGCAGATGCTTTTAGCTATGAACTGGAGGAGCCATATTCAGATTTTTCTACTCCACTCTTTGTTTATGAAAGTTCAAGATCACAAATGGTTCCTTGGGAAGAAACAGATTTTCAGAGTATTTGTCCAAACAGAAACAAAACACAGCTCCTGCATGTATAGAGCCAAATTTTCAAAGTGGCCCCAGTCACCTTTAATTTGATTGTAAGACTTCAGCTGTTTCCAGTGCTGTAAAAGGACATGCACTTTCATTGCAATAATAACAATTTTAATTATAATCTCTTCTTTTAATTTGTTTGCTTCAAAACTTGAGGCCCAAGTTTTGGCAAATCCACAATTTGTCGTGATCATGACAAGACTTGGATTCCATACTTGATATGCTCCTCAGATGGTTAGTTGTCTACCCAATTTGCATGGGCAAATGTTGTTGGCATGCCATCTCAGTTTAAAGCACCTAGAAACTCAGGACATGTCTACACTGGGGAGTTATTTCAAAATAACAAGGTGAGCACCCACACTACCAAGCCTGTTATTCCAAAATAATGGACTTGTTATTTCGAAATAACAATTCCTGCTTATGAAGAGAAGTAAGCTTATTTTGAAATAGTTATTGTGGAAGTTATTATTTTGAAATAACCTGGTAGTGTAGACATAGCCTCACTTGTAAAATGTTGCACACACAGTTCTGAGTATGTAGCCCAGAGTTTGTGTATTCAAGTGGTTGCTCACAATCCAGAGGTCAGTTATTTTCATCACAGAGAGTACTTGAATGTGAACCCTTCTAATCTTCTCTTTTCACTCTGCTGGCTAAAAAATGAAGAAGCCAATGTATTCCCATCTTTTTGGTGAGGATGGGTAAAGGTGTGTAAGGTGTGGGGGGGCGTTGTTTGGGGTTTTTTGTTTGTTTGTTTGTTTTTCAGTTCAAGCACTGATGACAGTGCTATAAGGGATTCCTTATAGATATTCCCATAGGACAGCTGTAAAAATGTACCTAGTTAAATCTTAATGTGGATAATGGTCAGCTCTTCTGCTACATACTAGGGCTTGCTGCATTCAGAGCTCACAGTCTTTGTTTGGCCTTCCTTTGCTCTTCATAACAGGTATAAAGATGGCAAGCCAATCATGGAGAACCAGACTTGCTACGAGCCAGATCTACAGAAGTACAAGCTGAGCATAAGGGACTTGAGACCAAAGCATGCAGGGAACTACACCATAGTCCTGAGCAACACTAAACATGGCCTATATGAGAACCTCACCATCCAGCTCGTAGTGACAGGTAAGCACTTGATGTTTCCAAACACTTCTATTGCCCTCTCCCATTTCACTTACAATGCCATTTTGCCCTACAGGCTAAACAACAAACATTGAGCAGCCTTTGACATTTCTCTCTGTTTCATTGATATGATGTCAGACTCAGAGAGCACCAACATAGGCTGCCCAGGATTTTCAGAGCTCACACTGGGGCAAAGCAATGCTGCTGGTTAAGGCGAGTTGCTCCGAGGTGGGAAGGTGAGAGTTGTCGTGCTCCAAAAGCAACTCTGAATTCTAGGCCTGGGGGTGCCCTCTAAAGGGGGCTGTGCATTCCAGAAGGGTTTCCCCAAGGATTGCCTTGAATTAGGTGGGCGTAGAGAACACCTCTTGCATAAACGTAGCATTATGGCTGCTGACCAGGGCACGCATGGATGGCACCACTTCATTCAAGAAGCAATTCAGTCTCAAAAGGAATGCCATTGAGTTCTAGTCCACCTTGCCCTAAGACGGTGAGATACATTTATAGAATGGGGCTTGACATTCCAGAGTGCTCTGTTCATTCTAGAAAACTGAATATGGAACAAATCATCCACAGTGTCTAGTCATCTTGTATAAAAAATGCATCTCGCATCTGATCATAGGCTGCTATGTCACACACATTGCAGAGAATCGGGTCTCCATATACCACAATCTTTGGTTGTGGATCTTCACTCGACAGAGAATTCACATACTGGCATACTGGTGGTGGAGTGTGGCTGCCTCTGAGTCCCCACCTTCCCTGTGCTCAGGGGTGGCGAGGCTGGATTTACATGCCACCTAGCAAGGCTGGGGCCATGTGCTGTCAAGGCTAGGACTATAACAGAGTTTAAAGAGAAGCTAGATAATTTCATAGAGGTTAGGTCCATAAAAGGCTATTAGCCAGAGGATAGAAATGGTGTCCCTGGCCTCTGTTTGTCAGAGGCTGAAGAAGGATGGCAGGAGACAAATCGCTTGATCATTGTCTTCAGTCCACCCCCTCTGGGGCACCTGGTGCTGGCCACTGTCGGCAGACAGGCTACTGGGCTAGATGGACCTTTGGTCTGACCCAGTACGGCCGTTCTTATGTATGTTGTTATGTTCACATGCCACAGTGTCTGGCCATAAATGGTCACTCTGTACTGGCCACACTCAAGCTGTGCTCCATGTCACTCCATGCCTATTGATGCTTAACTCAGTGCACCTTCCAGAAAGGCAAGGTGACAAGTAAAATGTGTCAAGTTAAGCCTGAGTTGCATACTGCTGAATAGTTGTCAATGAAGCAGTATCAGTGTTCCTTGTAAGCTGAGTACTTGGCCAGCGACCCAGGAGAGATTCAAATGCCACCCACCTGATTAGCAGAGCACTCACAGAACCCACCGCCAGCATCATGTGTTTCTATTGGTGGTGCACATCCACACACAACTCAGTGCACATGCCAAAATTTATTCCATGCCTGGAAGGAAAAAATTAGAGGGACCTTGACCATTGTGCCTAAGGCACAGACTGTCTGATGTTTTTCTTCTCTGTGATCACTACCTTGGCACTGTGTGGAGAAAAGAAATAGTTTGAAAGTAAACAAATTAAAATGTTGGCTTAATATTGGGGAGGAGGGGATTCCTAAAACATGAGCTCTATTAGCCTGCGGAATCATTTTCCAGGAGAAGTACTAGCAGCTCCATGCTTGGGGATATTACAAACTACCCCAAAGCAGTGAAGAACAGAGCTAGGAAAAGGTCCATATTGAAGGGAGAAAAAAACCTAAACGAGCTCCTATGTTTTTTCTCTCTGGTGTCTATTAATCACCCTTCTATAGAAACCCTTCACAAGTCTGTATTTTCTTCATTGTCCTCTAGCTAGCAGGAACATTTGAGAAACAGATTAATCAAAAGAGTCCTGGGAAAACTGAAGCAAGCATTGTGCAATGGGTGGCGAGTATAATAGCCGGGGGAAGGCATGGCCTTCCCAACCACCAGCTTGGCCCCACCCATACTCTGCCCCCTACTGGCATACTGGTGGTGGAGTGTGGCTGCCTCTGAGTGTCCGCCCTCCCTGTGCTCTGGGGTGGGGAGGCTGGATTCACATGCCACCTGGCAAGTCTGGGGCCATGTGCTGCCCACCCTCCCTCTGCTCTGGGGCCAGAGAGGCTAGAGCCACATATCACCTGCCCTCCCCATGCTGCAGGGCTGGGGAGGCTAGGGCTGTGTGCTGCCCCACCTCCTCTTAGTGCTGGGGGGCAGCTTGGCTTCCATGGGGGGACAGGGCCTGGGCAGAAAGGGTTGGGGTTGGGGGCTTGCCTTCCCCAGCCCTGCCTTCTCCCATCGCCCATGCGTGGTGCATTGATGGAGGTTCTTTTGAGAGAGAAGGAGAAAAAGATGCATGACTCGCACTTGCTGATTTCCACTCTTGGAAGGTAGGAAAAGGAGCACATGCATCCACTGCCTTGCCACCTTACTTCTATTCCAGTTAGGTTGGTGGAAGGGGAGAGATCGCATCATGAAGGAGAAAGTCAGCTCTGCTTTCTTTTGTGCTTCCTGAGTTTCAATCAGGCTGTAACTAAGCAAAAATTACTGATGCTGGTTTGTTTCTTTTTTAATAGTTAATGCTCCCCCGCCCCTCCTTCCCTTTATTCTTTCTACGCCTAAAAATATTCCACAATTGTATGGTATGTGTGCAGCTACACCCCATAACTTCCAGCCATTGTGCATTTCTTATTTTACCTTTCACAGGGGTGGTGCCTGATAAGTGGGGAAAAGAATAAAGAGACACCAAGAATAAAATCTTGACCCCATTGATGTCAATGGGAAAACTCCCACTGTATGCAGTAGGGCCAGGACTTCACCATAAATCCTGGTCCCCAAAAATATGTAGCCTATTCTGTTCCAATCCTTCACTAAAATATATATGGTAGGGAACAATCCTACCCTTGCAAAGGGCTGAACTAGATGTCTTGGTAGGTCTGTTCTCAGTTATTTGGAGCACATCAATTATGAGTTGATCCCAGGTGCTGCCATTCTATTTGTAGATAGTGTGGACAGATTATTTTCAGTTTAGCAGTGACTCTTGCAGAATTCATTCTGAGTCTGTTTGGTACATTGGTAACTCTTCATGTATGACTGGTTATCTTGGGCACACGATATGGTTTCTGCTGCCTGGCTGGATGAGACATTTTAAACTAGAGATGCTTGCCTTAAGAACAATGAATAATTAATCCTCTTGTGGATGTATGTCTCCCTGCTGGCCCGCCGGAAAGCACGCTCAGGTGAAGAAAAGCCATTCCTCTAGCATTTGAACAAACAAAAGCTGTGTGCATGACTGCTCATGAGTAGCCAAGGAAAAGATGTTACTGCAGGATTCAGCCATCTATGGCTATAGGTTGGACCTCCCTGGTCTGGCACCCACCTAAGTGGTCCCGGTTGAAGGATTTTGCTGGACCAGTGGAGATTATTTCTGGCCCCCTGCTGCTGCTCAGTCTTCTGCTCTGCCGCCCTCCCCCCCTCCACCCCTTCGCTTCTGGCTCCCTCTCTCCTCAGCCCACCTGAGCCTCCACCCCCGCTCAACCCTCCCAGCTTCCCCCAAAGCCCAGCTGAGCTGTACATGGGCTTCCTGGCTCCACCTGGCCAAGCTCCCAGATCCCTCCACCCTCCCACTGCATGCTGGGACTCTCTGGTCCAGCATAAGAACATAAGATGGCCATCCTGGGTCAGACCAAAGGTCCATATAGCCCAGTAGCCTGTCTGCCGACAGTAGCCAGCACTAGGTGCCCCAGAGGGAGTGGACCAAAGACAATGATCAAGCGATTTGTCTTTTGCCATCCATCTCCAGGCTCTGACAAACAGAGGCCAGGGACACCATTTCTATCCCCTTGCTAATAGCCTTTTATGGACCTAACCTCCATGAAATTATCTGGCTTCTCTTTAAACTCTGTTATAGTCCTAGCCTTCACAGCCTCCTCTGGCAAGGAGTTCCACAGGTTGACTACGTGCTGTGTGAAGAAGAACTTTCTTTTATTAGTTTTAAACTTGCTACCCATTAACTTCATTTGGTGTCCTCTAGTTCTTCTATTATGGGAACTAATAAATAACTTTTCTTTATTCACCCTCTCCACACCACTCATGATTTGATATACCTCTATCATATTCCTCCTCAGTCTCCTCTTTAACCTCTCTTCATATGGGATCCGTTCCAAATCCCTAATCATTTTAGTTGCCCTTTTCTGAACCCTTTCCAAGGCCAAAATATCTTTTTTGAGGTGAGGAGACCACATCTGTACACAGTATTCAAGATGTGGGCGTACCATAGTTTTATACAGGGGCAGTAAGATATTCTGTGTCTTATTTTCTATCCCTTTCTTAATAATTCCTAACGCCCTCTTTGCCTTTTTGACCATCGCTGCACACTGTGGGGAAGTTTTCATAGAACTATCCACAATAACTCCAAGATCTCTTTCCTGATTTGTCGTAGCCAAATTAGCCCCATCATACTGTATGTATAGTTGGGGTTATTTTTCCCGATGTGCATTACTTTACACTTATCCACATTAAATTTCATTTGCCATTCTGTTGCCCAATCACTCAGTTTGGTGAGGTCTTTTTGAAGTTCTTCACAGTCTGCTTCTGTCTTGACTATCTCAAACAGCTAAGTATCATCCACAAACTTTACCACCTTGCTGCTTACCCTTTTCTCCAGATCATTTATGAATAAGTTGAACAGGATTGGTCCCAGGACTGACCCTTGGGGGACCCCACTAGTTACCCCTCTCCATTCTGAAAATTTACCATTTAGTCTTACCCTTTGTTTCCTGTCTTTTAACCAGTTCTCAATCCAAGAAAGGACCTTCCCTCTTATCCCATGACAATGTAATTTACACAAGAGCCTTTGGTGAGGGACCTTGTCAAAGGCTTTCTGAAAATCTAAGTATACTATATCTATTGGATCCCCCTTGTCTGCGTGTTTGTTAACCCCTTCAAAGAACTCTAATAGATTAGTAAGACATGATTTCCCTTTACA